GTCAGCCTCCCTGTCTTTGTATCTACATATTAGGTTGTCTTGGTAGAGTGGCCTAATGTAGAAGGTGTCCTTCAGGGTCTGGTGGCACATCCTCCCTAGTCCCAAGCTGAAGTGCTCTTTTTGTGTGGTTCAGTACACTCTCCTCTTGGTGTTGAGTCTTGCTTGTTGTTGGCAGGTCAATGGGAGGTGTTTACTCAGGCTAGTCAGCAGCAAGGATTGGCTGTGACCACTGACCACAAAGGTCCGATTTCTGTGGAGGATCAGCTGGGCAGGGGCATGGTGATGGTGCTCAGATGTGGTCTGTGGCTGTCTATTGGTTGTGCTAGTCCTGGGGTTTCCCAAGTGGTACAGGCCCATGTCACTCCCCACCTGTGTTTTGCCTGGGGCAACCATGTCTGAGCTGTAAAGCAAACTGAGAGGGTTGCCACTTGTGCTGAGCTCGATGATTTGCAGGCAAAACTATTCTGTGAATCTAGGCTGTGTGCTGCTAGTGCTGGGCCTGGGGCTACTTAGTAAGAAGTATGTAGACTGGGGATTCACTAGGGTGGTTATTGCTTTTTTGAAAAGATTTAGGAAGTTGTGAAGCATAAGCCAAAACTAACCATTTATATGGAAAAGCCACTGTTAACAGCTGTAAGTTGAGTGGGATGGAGCCTTTGGGGGATGTCCAGGGTGGAGCAAACTGTGTTAGCCATGTCGATGTGGTTGAGTCTCAGATATGGCACACATCTGCTGGCTCTATGGTTCAGAGGGTGGGATTTCTGAAAGGGACAATGACCTCTGCTGACCTTTCTGTCAGGGAGAAAGCTGTCCCCCAGCTCTCATCTTATGCCGTATACTTTATTTCTTCCCTGTATTCCACAGGTGCCTTTCAAGCTGCTACCCTGGTGCTGGAGCTCAGAGGGAGTGAGTCTGAGTAAGGCCATGTGTGGGTTGTTTAAGAGGAACTACTTGGGACTCCTGAGGTTTCTTCCACCAACTCAATCCCTCCTGGTTTTTGTGGCCAGAAGTTATGGGGAGTTATTTTCCTGGCACTGGATCCCTGGTGTGGAGCAGTTGGGACTCCTCACTTGTGAGATATTTCTTCTGAATTTTTCCACCACATGGGGATGTGAGACCAGCTTGTTATTCCTCTCTGCCCCTCTTATCAGCCTGGATAGATTGGGTTTCTAATATTCTGTAGTTGTCAGGCTACCCTTCAACTTCATTTCTGGTGGTTCTGAGTGATGACTGTTCTATAAGGTAGTTGTAATTTTGATGTGGTTGTGCGAGAATGAAAGCCCTGTTCTCCTTCCTGCCAACTTGACTGGCACTCCTGCTTACTTCAAGACCAGAGAGAATCTCTTTCACTGAGGTGAATCCCAGCCATGTTTTTGAAAGCTTTACCTGATTATATCAGGCCCATGAAGGCTAATCTTTATTTGATTAACTCATAATCAGTTGATTATGGATCTTAGTTCTATGAAAAATCCCTTCAGATTTGCCACATTTTGCAGAGTAGAGGAAACTCATAGGTCCTGCCCACACAAAAGTGGAAGAAATTTCATGGCATGTGAATGCCACAGAACAGTCCTCTGTACGGTCCACACACCACAGCTGCCACAAATAAGAAATAATACCTTTGCAGTGCACAAATTGAAACCAGAAAGGGCTTGGCCATGTAAGTTTTCATGAAGACGTCCTCTGTACAGTGTAACTGCTATAAGTGAGTCTTACCAGCAGTTTTAAATCAGCAGAGGGCTGGGATTTTGAGAGGATTGAAATGGCCTCATATTGTAATCCTAAATTTTATATATATGTATGTGTACATATATGTGTATATATATTATATATGTATATAATTACATATTCTACTCTAAGATTTTAATATTCTTGACAGAGTCTTTCACGCAGTTTAATTAATTACTTTTTAAACTTTGTTTGAAGTGTTTGTGTTTATACCCTAGCTAAAAAATTGTTGCTTGTCCCCAAGTCACAAACACATTATACATTTTTTCTAGAAGCTTTATTTTATTATCTTTTATATTTAGGTGTATGATCAGTTCAAATAAATGTTATTTTTTGTCATGAAATAAGAATTGAAGTCCATTTTTAATACTATTTTTCACCGTTGCAATATCTCTTATTTTTTTAAAGATTTTATTTATTTATTAGAGAGAGGAGGAAAAGGGAGAAAGAGAGGTAGAGAAATATCAATGTGTGGTTGCCTCTCACGTTCCCCCTACTGGGGACCTGGCCCACAATCCAGGCATGTGCTCGGACTGGAAATTGAACTGCCAGCTATTTGGATTGCCGGGCAGTGCTCATTCCACTGAGCCACAGCAGCTGGGGCTCAGCATGACTTATTGAAGAGAATTTTATTTCCAATTAAATTTTTTTAGTTCCTTTGTTGAAAATGAACTGACCATACATGTGTAGGTCTATTCAACATTCTGTTTTATCCATTAACTTGTTTGTGTAAGTAAACAACAATATTGCATAGACTTGATTACTGTAGCTCTACATTCTTGAACTCAGATACTTATTTCACAGAGGAAAAGGTTTCAATTTTTATGTAGTTCAATTTATTAATTTTAAAATTTTCTGCATCATGCTTTTGGTGCTGTATCTAATTGGTGGACATAATCCAAGTGTGTGGAAAATGTACCTGTGTTTTATTTTAAAAGTGTTATTGCTTTAGCTCTTCCTTTTAGGTCTCTGATCAGTTTTAAGTTAATTTTTGTATATGGTATAACATGAGGGTCTAAATTTTTCTTTATGAATGTGGATATTCAGTTTTGTCGGCATCATTTGTTGAAAAATAGAAGAGACTGTTTCCCCATTGAATCGACATGGGCCATTTTTAAAATCATCTGACCATGATGGTGAGTGTTATTATCTCAACTACACTTGTGTTTCGTGATGTATTATCAGTGATTTTCAACGAGTATGCCACAAGAAGTTTTAGGACATGCAAGATCCTGACGATTTGGTGAGGACTAGTGTCTTCTTTTCCTTCAAGCTGGCAAAAAAGAAAACAAAACTAAAAAAAAACCCCACAACAATGAACACCACAAACTATCTTGTGTGAATAAATCAAATTTAAATCTAAGTTTTGTCAAATTGGCAAAAAATATAGTTTTTGATATACTGCAGGACTATGGTAATTGGTTTATTTTTGTCATGAGATTAAAAAAGTTTGAATATCACTGATATAAAAAAGTATATTGTATATTGTTATTTAAGTAGGACACTGTTGTGATTACTATAGCGCTGTAGCTAGTTTTGATATCAGGAACTGTTATCTTTCAACTTTGTTGTTTTAAAAAAATATTTTGGTTATTGTGAGTACATGGCATTTCCATAAGTATTTTAAGAATTTCACTTTCTGAAAAATAGGCTTCTGGGATTTGATATTGACTGCATTAAGTGTATTTATCATCTATCTGGTCATCTAAAGACTTTCCTTTTTCCTGGATTTTAGTTCACTGGTCCTCCTTTCTTACAGTGCTCTGTGATGCAGTTAAAACATAATTTTGACAATTTATTCCTCTTATCTTGGGAATCAAATGAGTAACAATCCTCTGTGCCTGTTTTCTGTGCGAGACAGGAACAATTGAAAACATTCTACCCAAACAGTATACTTCCTACTTACAAAGACCACTGGAAAGCTTGTCATGGTTATCTGACATTTTACTGATTATTATACTGAGGCAGAGAGTGGTTTAAAAGAGAGTCCAATATCAGAGATATACAGAGCAGAACATCTTGGTTTTCCTTCATGGCAGTGCAGCTCTAAGTTCATCCTCAAAAACAACTATAGTATAAACACTGAAACAATAACTGTTTTAGAATTTATTAATCTTAAGATATTAAGTAGTCAGAAATGAGTTAACCTGAGAAAATAAAACTGAATTTTCATATATAGAGAAGTCTAAACTCGCCAATAGAAACCACATGTTCTTTTGAAATTTCCAAAGAATATTTATAACATTTCTGAAAATTTTAATTAAATAATTATTTTAAATATTCAATAGGCCCAAAAGAGGACCTTCATCAGAGACCTATCATAAGATGTTTGTTACCAGTTAATAATGAAGTAATGAAATATAAGATGGATTTAAACCTGGATAACCTCATTGCATCTCATTTTTCATTTTGAAAACTATGGGACAATAATTTTTTTCATCATTGAGATGTGTGTATGTGCATGTGTATGTTTTTGTGTGCTTATGCATTTATAAACAAGCAGAATATAGTCCACGTTTAGTTATCAGCAACCATCCATTGGTGAGTTTTGGCCTTCTTCGCATACTCAAGAAAACCTTGATGATATAATGGGAAAAGCTAGGATTCTTTCCTCATAAATATGACATTTAAAAAAATAAAAGGAAAAGATAAATAGTAAAAGAAGGAAATTGAATTATTTTTGGGGGCACTATTCAATATACAGATTACATATTATAGAATTGTGCACTTAGAACACATACAATTTTATTAACCAATGTCACCCCAATAAATTCAACAAATTAAAAAAAATTACATAGTGGTGATGATCCTATCAATGACTAAGCTCTATTGAACAATTTATAATTTACTGTATATTCATGAATTGGGATGTTAAATTTCACTAAGGACAAAGTTGATGAATGCAAATTATGGAGAGGTTAAACAAAGAAAATTGCAAAATGATGAAAGAGAATATGTCTATATTTGCATTATAGCAAATGAGATTTCATCTTTCACAACTACATCACTTACCAAATATTGCAACCTACCACAAGATAAAATATTTGAATAAGAGTTAATTTGAGCTGTTGGGGCATAACAATGTTTTTCATAAAAAAAAACATTGAGCTCTTTAATTACTGTATTTTGGTCCTTTCATGCTTGGCATTGGTCACAGATTAAAAAAAGACAGGTATTTTATATACATTCAAGACCAGCTGCAAATAGAAATTAAGTTCAGGTTATTGAAGGAATCAGGACCAGTGATATTAGTCTTGGCCTTTTTTCTAGACATGATAAGTTTAAGTTTATTAAAGAACATTTTTTCTATCCTAGTGATAGCAGAATTTGTTCTAGGAAATTTTGCCAATGTCTTCATAGCCCTGGTGAACTGCGCTGACTGGGTCAAGAGCCAAAAGATCTCCTGTGCTGATCGAATTCTCACTGCCCTGGTGCTCTCCAGAATTTGTTTGCTCTGGTCAGTAGTAATAAACTGGTATGGAACTGTGTTTAATAAAGCTTTCTATAGCTCAGAAGTAAAAATTATTGTTCATGTTGCCTGGGTAGTAAGCAACCATTTTAGCCTCTGGTTTGCTACTAGCCTCAGCATACTTTATTTGCTCAAGATAGCCAATTTCTCCAGCCTTTTCTTTCTTCACTTAAAATGGAAAGCTAAAAGAGTGGTTCTTATGATTCTTTTGGGCTCTTTGGTCTTCTTGGTTTGTCATGTTGGAGTGGAAAATTTAAGATTACAAATGGGGATGAACAAATATGAAGGAAACTTCACTTGGGTGACCAACCTGCGGGGTATTGTATTCTTCTCAAATATAACTGTATTCACAATTGTACATGTCATACCATTTACCGTGTCCCTGACAGCTTTACTGCTGTTACTCTTTTCCATATGGAAACATCTCAAGAAGATGCAGCTCAGTGGCAAAGGATCTCAAGATGCCAGCACCAAGGTCCACATAAGAGCCATGCAAACTGTGATCTCATTTCTCTTGCTATTTATCATTTTCTTCCTGGCTCAGATCACCTCTTTGTGGAATTCTAATACTTGGAAAAACTATTTAGTTGCCATGGTGTTTCATGTCCTTGGACTTCTGTATTCTTCCAGCCACTCATTTATCCTGATTTGGGGAAATAAGAAGCTACGACAGGCCATTCTGTCATTACTGTTTCAGCCGAGGTGCTGGCTGAAAGGAAGTAAGTGGGGAACCATGTGTTTCTGACTGAAAACTGGTGTAGTGGAACATTTTGTAGTTCCCACTGCATTGTTTATGTGTTTAAGTTTTGATAAGGTATACCTAAAATTATTTTTTACATAGCTTATCACAAAACTTTATGCATGTACATATTTGTGAAAAATACAAGAAAGATTATAAATTACAATGTTATTTATGTAAGCAAACTAATTTTACAAAATAGTGTAAGGAATTCCTCAAGGTTAAAGAAGTCATGAATTTCACATTTGTATTCCACATTATCATCTTGCAATTAAAAATTTTGTGTTCTGTGTCTATATACATTTAAAGACTGACACGTCATCTCAGGAAATCATTCCTAGTTTCTATTGTAATTATTACCACAGAGTGGTACCAGACCGTGTTTAGATTTTTTTGCTTGAACCTCCAACCTTTCAGATGGTAAGAATATTCCTTCTAAATCACACATTGAGGATGTATGTTTGGGATAGATATTATTCCATCCTGAATTCTTACTTCATTGTTAATTGCAATCAGAACTGTTTAGAAAAGATATACATAATGAAATTATGGAGCAATTGAAGTATTTAGAACATGTTTTAGATTCATGTAAAATAAAATAAAAATAGTAGAGATTATTAGGTTAAATAAAAGCAGGTGAAAGCTTAGAAAACAGTTCTATGATTGGGATGAAGAAGAAAGCAAAATAAATCATTACTTTTTAATGCTTCACTGTTTACATATGCAGTTAGAAAAATCATTTCATACAGTTTTGGAATTCTGAAGACTATTTTGAAGTTGGAATCTGATGTCAGTTTATTCAATTTATTCATTTTATCCTTAAACCATCTTTGGGACCCTGAATTGCCAGTCATCTTCCCCATGTTGTGATCAAAAAATTCCTTTTAACCTTCACAGAAAGATTCAAATCTTCTCTACCTTAAAAATATGCTTGATATAAGTATAGTAAAAAATTATGGTACATAAGTCAATGACCTTTCTGCATGTATGAAAATTGTTACTCCTGATGTCTATGTAATAATTATAAAAATGTCTTGAAGATCTGTTTTTATTAAAATTTTGTGGAAAATGATAAAACAGAAAGTGCATTGACATAGATTTGGTAGCAACATCTATTATAAGGAAGAAATGTACACATGTTCAACAACTGAATTTACATGCCTATATTATTGTTAGTATTAAGAAATTTCAACATTATCTATACCTTAAAAAAATCTTTCCCACATTTGATTTTTCATTTTTTAAATCATCTGTCTGCCCCATTAGAATATTAACATTATAGTGTGGGACGATGTCTTTCCTGCTTCCTACTGACCCTTCAGGACATAGAAGCCAGCACATGGGATAATTGATGCACATACATTCTAAAGACTAAATAAGTGAACAAATAAATTATGTTATGTCTGGAAAACCAATGATCCCACTTTTGGAGTATACTCTAAGTATCCTGAAATGACAATTCAAAAAATCCTGTGCACTCCAATGTTCATAGTAGCATTATTTACGGTAGTCAAATGCTGGAAGTAAGTGCCCATTAGTAAATTTTCGGATGAAAAACTGTGGTGCATTTCCCCAATGCAAAAATATGCAGCAGAAAGGATAGTACTTGAGTATTATACTAAGTGAAATAAGCCATGTGGTGAAAGACAAATATGATATAATCTCACTATAAGGTCAAACTAATGAACAAAACAAACAAATGAGCAAATAGAACTAGAGACATGGAAAGAAGGAACTAACTGACAGTGACCAGACCTGTGGAGGGAGAGGGAAAACGAGGGAACGTGAGGGAAGGTTGTAGTCAGGGAACTTGTATGAAAGACCCATGATAATGGACAGCTGGTGGGGGCTGACTGAGGGAGCAGGGTGAGGGGAGGGGTGGGGAGAAGAACAAAGGTAATACCTGGGACTACTGTAATTGAACAACAATAAAAAATAAAGTTTTTAAAATAAAAAAATGAAATAATATTCTAAGAAAAAAAATCAATGGCAACATAACTCATTACAAAATCTGTATGTGGCCTAGATTTCTTGGTTCTGTTTCTTCACCCTCCAAATGCATCTAAATAAATCTGTCCATGCTCAGTTCCAATCATTGCCTTAGAATGGGGAAAGGAACTTCTGTCACAAATAGACTCCAAAACATAAAGTGATCCATACATAATTTGAATTTCATATTGCTTTTCTAACAGTCCTGATGTGTCTGAGGAGCCTCTGTATGCAGTTACCCAGGAAATCAGGCCGATAGCAAGCACATTGTCTTGAACATTGGCCTTCCAAGGTTGCCTTGGAGCCATCACCATTCCAGACAGCACGGGGTATAGAGATGTATGGAGGAGCATGTGTGGGGAAGTTTTGGAGGGCCAGGTTTGTAAATAGTGCACATGGTTTTCACTCAGAAGACATTGATCAGATACAGTCACATTGCCACACCATCAGTATGGAAGCTGAAAAATACAGTCACTGTATAGCCCAGAAAGAAGATGAAACATTTACTTAGAACAGAGATGTTAGAGAGTGCTTAGTAACATTTCACTTGAAAAGCCAAGATGTTATTGTAAAACCAAAGATATTCACTGTTTTGAAGGATGCTTTAGGTTGTTCATGTCACTTTGATAGTTTGACATGCCCATAAAAGTCTTGAATTTGTTTCACTTTTTCTTCATAAATTCTAAATGATTCAAATTCCAACTAAATATTCTTTTCTTCCTAAAACCATAATCAATTTTGCAGTGTATCATTAGTGGCCTTTTCAAGTACATTCCCAGTATATTTTGCTTATAATTTCTGATTTAACTTCTACAATATTTCCTCCTATTTATGTTTAGTTATTTTTTCTGGGACCTGGGTGTGGTCTTTGAAATAGATAATAATTGCTATAAATTATTGTTATAAATCGAATTGCATCAACAAATATACTTGATATGCATGAGGATCTTAAATGAGTAACAAATAATGACAGAATTATATAAAGTTTCCTTTTCTTTTTTCCTTTTATTTTTTATTTTTAAAATACATTTGTCTCTGCCTCCCCCCCACCACTTTCCCTTGCCCCCTCCCTCTTTCCCTCCCTCAGCTCTTCCCCTTTGGTTTTGTCCATGAATCCTTGCTATATGTTCCTTGACTTTCCCCTTCCTTTCCTTTTCCCCGCCCCCGCTCCCTCCTTCTCTCTTGTCTCTGTTGATTTCTTTTCCTTTCAGTGTTGCTGGTCATATTTTCCTTGCATCCTTGTATTGTTGGTTAGGTTCTGCTTATAGGTGAGATCATATGGTATTTGTCTTTCGCCCCCTGGTTTATTTCGCTTAGCATAATGCTCTCGAGTTCCATCCATGTTGTCGCGAAGTTTAGTAGTTCTTTTTTTCTTTCTGCTGCGTAGTATTCCATTGTGTATATGTACCATAATTTTTTGATCCAATCATCTACTGATGGGCTTTTCTTAGCATTTACTATTCAATATTCAATATCAGGGAGAGCAAACTACACAATGGTGAAAAAAAATCTCACTTATATTTGCATGTTTATATTTTTGCATTGACTGCTATAGTCAGTTGCACAAATGGAAATTTGCAGCTGTTGCTCAGATAAGTGGACACCATTTGCCTTTAACTTAGTAATTATATAGTAGGTGATGGTAAGTAATATGATAGGTATTCATGAATCTTTGTGTTTCTTTATTTTTAGTCTATTTTATTGATTATGCTATTACAGTTGTCCCATTTTCCCCTTTGACTGGTAGCCCCCTTCCTTCCAGCAATCCCACCCTTAGTTCACGTCCATGGGTTGTGCATATAAGTTCTTTGGTATCTTCATTTCCTATATTATTCTTAACCTCCCCTTGCCTATTTTGTACCTACCAATTATGCTTCTTAATCCCTGTACTGCTTTCACCATTATCCCACTTACCCCTTCAAGCTGATAACCCTCCAAATGATCTCCAAGCCTATGATTCTATTACTGTTCTAATTGTTTGCTTAGTTTGTTTTTGTTTTTTTAGATTAAGTTGTTGATAGTCGTGAGTTTGTTGTCATTTTACTGCTCATAGTTTTGATCTTTTTCTTAAATAAATCCCTTTAACATTTCATGTAAAAATGGTTTGATGACGATGAACTCCTTGAGCTTTCCCTTGTCTGGGAAGCACTTTATCTGCCCTTCCATTCTAAATGACAGCTTTTCTGGACAAAGTAATCTTGGTTGTAGGTCCTTGTATTTTATCACTTTGAATAGTGCTTGCCAGTCTCTTCTTGCCTGCAATGTTTCTTCTGAGAAATCAGTTAAAAATCTCATAGAAACTCCTTTGTAGGTTACTATCTGCTTTTCTCTTGCTGCTTTTAAGATTCTCTCTTTATTCTTAACCTTTGGCATTTTAATTATGATGTGTCTTGAAGTGGTCCTCTTTGGGTCCAACTTGTTGGGGACTTGCTGATCCCCCTGGACTTGTATGTCTATTTCATTCACCAAAATAGAGAAGTTTTCTTCCACTAAGTTTTCAAATAAGTTTTCGATTTCTTGCTCTTCCTATTCTTCTGACATCCCCATAATTTGGATGTTGGCAATTTTGGAAATATCCCAGAGTCTTCTTACACTCTCATCATTTTCAAAACACTTGTTTTTTCTTTCTCTTCTGATTGAATGTTTATTTCTTCCTTATGTTCCAAATCATTGATCTGAATCCTGGCTTCCTTCCCTTCACTGTTGGCTCCCTCTATATTTTTCTTTAGTTCATTTAGTATAACCTTAATTTCTTCCTTTTTGTTTTTGCCATGCTCAATGATTTCTCTGAGCATCCTTATCACCAGTGTTTTGAACTCTGCATCTTATAAGTTGGCTATCTGTGTTTTGCCCAGTTCTTTCTCTTGGGTTTTGTTCTGTTCTTTCATTTGGGCCATATTTCTTTATCTCCCCAACTTGGCAGCCTCCCTGTGTTTGTTTCTGTGTATTAGGTAGAGCCACTTTGACTCCCCATCTTAATGCACCTTTTAAGTTATAAGGGGCAAAACATTATATAT